GCTGCTTGTGTTTTGTCCATGGCCTTGACAAAGTTCTTCATCAGACCCAGCTTGATGTGTAAGTGTGGTAACAAAATCTTCCTTGATTCAACAAGTGATGGATGCTGAACACTTTCCTCCCAGGCCCCAACGACTGTCGGAGTGGCCAATCTATCATGGTGTAGTAGGAATCTCTTGCACGACTATCCCATTCACAGAGAAAAGAGCAGTACTTTGTGTATCCAGTCTGCAGACCAAGCAAGAGAGCAACAACCTCAAATCGCCACAAAGCTGCCACTGATGTTGGTCATAGCTTATGCACCTCAAAAGTTGCTTCATGTTGTCATAGTTTTCCTTCATATGGACTGCATTTCCAACTGGAATTGATGGCAAAACATTGCCATTATGCAGCAAAACATCCATGACTTCTAGGAATAACATGATGCAATTCATATCATGTATGATGCAATACCAGCTTCAGATTGCATCATTCATTGTTTTGCTTAAAAAGCAAGTACTGTCCAAACCCAGTCATAGATTTATTCATAGATCCAGTCAAAGATGTATTTTAGTCATTTCTGGTTTAAATTGAGATCCCTTCCCTTTATAACTCACTTATCCTCCGCCATTCGCAAGTCAAGGGTCGTATATACTGACCCAATAGCATATCTTGAAAACTAGAGCCAATCAACAATTTTAAGCATCATTTTCGTTCTCAGTGACCCAGAATTAGTAAAGTTTGGCTACATTTATTTCAGAAGCATTTTGACTGTAGAGCAGTGTTATCTGCCATCCTGAAACACAATAGTAGGTCTGAAGCCACTATCCTGAAAACTGAGACATCAAGTTCCACTCCATGGACTCCTGGAATCTGAATCATATGAATATATTCCAGTTGAACATCTGTTAAGGAAAAGAGGGTAATGGGCCTCATGCCCAAGCAAGCCACTGAGTTACTTTGTTCACATATTACCTTTTGTTAAATAATGTACCCAATAGCTGTGTCTACATTGGCATCCCTTTCCAGAAAAGGGATGCTAATGAGACACTTCGGAATTGCAAATCCGTGGGGATTTAAATAGCCAATAGTACTTTCAAGTAGGAATAAGGGATCTTCCGTAAAAGGGCTTATTTTCCGGAGAATCGCATCTAGACTGGCGCTTTTCTCCGGCAAAAACCCCGAGCCGGAAAAAAGCGGCAGCCATGTAAATGCAAATGCCGCGGGGGCTATTTAAATCCCCCGCGGATTTGCAATTCCGAAGTGTCTCATTAGCATCCCTTTTCCGGAAAGGGATGCCAATGTAGACACAGCCTTTTAGTTTATCTTTATTGTACCTTATATTATTTACCCTGAGATTAATTAGGTGTTAGATTTTAATTTAGGGACAGCTGGAACTGTGACTTCCTAGCATGGTTCCATAATATCATCCTTTTAATTTCCCCTGATTCATATGGAGCTTCAGGGGAGGAATAGCAAGGGGAAGTATGACTCTTCCCACTCCCCCCACACACACCATACACACACCAGAAATGGAAATCAGATTTACTCTAAAAAAAATTCAAATGCCTCATTACTTTTTCTCTTTCCCCACACTCTATACAACTCCCCCCCCACACACACACACCCTCCCCTCAGCAATTCAGCAGAGTGATCACATCTCAGGCTACATCTAGACTGCA